AGATTAGTGCCCAGAGGCTCATGTGGTACTGTGCATTTCCATTAAGTTGTTTTGCAGGTCATCTACTACAGAATTTGTTTAAAGTATCCTAATGGTAGGATTTGTTGATCAGTGTGGGCAAGCTCTGAGTTTGTTACTATTTGTTCAAGTTCATCTATCTTGATCAGATGAGTTTGTTTTCAGGCAAGAAGGACAACACAGAAAGCAAGACTTTGGCAGATGTTCTAGTTCGTTCAGATAGACACCACACGAAATGAGAAGTGTGCCGAGTTACCAGTCAAATCTATCTCTGGGTACTATATACTGTATCTCTTAGCTCATGCTTCTATATTGATCCATCGTCATCCATTCACATGTTTAGGAGTTTGTTTTCCTTTTACATATATCTCTTACTCAATCCATGCAGTTCATGATTTGGAAGAGCAATCTTGTGAACTTTTTGCCAATTACCACTAGTATATTACTGCCGCGGTGTTGCCGAATATCAGCATGTCGTTGGTTAAGTTCTATTTCATGTTTTACTGGCACTAGTAATATGTTTGGCATGCGCACTAGCTAAAGAGAATCACATTTCGCCGTCTCTCATGGCAGATGTTTCTGTAGAATGCTAATTGAACTTTTTCTTCCAATCATACCGTCTTCTGGCAGCACCATGAAGTGCTGCTGAAAACTATCTGTGTCTTTTAACATGGACCTTTCATCCAGGAGAATTAGTGTTTCCTGAACTATGTTTCATCATGTAAAGGAGTGATTCTGGTCTAGCAGGCATGATTAACATATCAAGTGCATAACTCCAAACTGGCCCATACATCGTTTATATAAATCGGAAGTTTCCCTAGCCTTCAACCGAAATGTCCAATAACCATCGCCGCCTTTTCTTTTTCCTGAAATATTGTAACCAGTTGACCAAATCTTGAAACTGAAACTTGCTATTTCATATGCTCTGTATCTCTCCTGAAAATCAAAATGATAGCTCCCTATTCATTTCATTTTGAAAGGGACATGTGTTCTTAATCCATTTCTGTTTACTCGGATTTTTTTTCCTCTCTTTTTCATCTGCCACTTGTTCTGTTTATATGTTTATATTCAAATGTATCTAATGTTTATTTATTTTTATTTTCAGGTTTATTTAAGACTAAACAATCAGGTAGTAGCTGAGGGTGGCAGTTTGCGGGGCACTCATTTTGCAGGAAACCTGGAGAAGTTTGGGTGTTTTCAGAGTTTGCTCATGAACTCGTTTTGCAGAAAATCTGGGAGTTGGTTCAGACTTTAACTTCATACTAGCAGTTAACTTCTCTAGATACAGATGCACTGAACTGAACTGCATAAATAACGAATCTAGCCAGCAATCCTTTATTTTATATTTTTATATATTGTACTCCCTCCGTCTGGAATTACTTGTCGCAAAAATGGATAAAAACGGATGTATCTAAAATTAAAATACATCTAGATACATCCATTACTTTGATAAGTATTTTCGGACGGAGGGAGTACTCCATAAAAGTGTTGTATTCCCTCTTATATTATGGGACGGAGGGAGTAGTAATTTTAAAGCTGGCGATTTCCTATTAATTGTAGCTAGTACAAGTACCAGGGCGTGTGTACCAGTAGCTACTGTATGAGTCGCAGAACATGTACTGCGAGCGACCCACGCTCCGTCGGCTTGCCGTTGTAGCATGGACGTCCTAGGTTCAGTTTCTTCGCCAGCCAGCCCAACGGCAGCATCTGCCCATGGCGCCAGGGAGCCATGTAGCATGGACTTTAGACCTACAGCTGGTGCCGTCGTAGCCGTGCAGGCAGCTCCTCGTCATCGTATTCTTGCCAACCGTGCTCAATACCAAACCATGTCTTCCACTTGAAAACTTCGATCACTTCCTGAGAGGCATGGAAGATTGTTCAACTACAATAATATACAACGATGAGTTTCACTCTTCTAGTTTTAAAAGAAAGAAAACAAAATATGTGTTGCATCTTTTGTTTCTTTTTAAAACAATTGTCTTTGGTCTTCTGAAATGTTGTAGAACAACCGACATTGCCATCCCACCGACAGGTGGGGTCCATGCCTAGCACATTGGAAAAACCTTGTGGCAGGGCTGCGCGAACCAAGTCCATGTGAAAGTGAAACAACCAGTCTAGAGCCCACCCTCGTCCTCGGCTTCTCCGATTCCATTCCAAAACCCTCTCCCCTCCGGTAGGTCTACGTGTGCCTCGAATTATTCTAACATCTGCATTGGCCAGAATCGATGGCCCAGGTCACTGCTTGTCGGTGTTCCGTATCGGCAGTGCTGTCGAGCGACGACGTATTTGTTCGAAGGGGCGTGAGAGCGGCGGATCGAGATGGTGAGGCACTACATTGAATTTACTCACATCTTGGCCACCTGGGAGGAGGTAACACCCTACTCCTGCCAGAGCTTCAAAAATTACCTTGACCATCACGTGACGGAGAGCATTGGTCTATATACATCTTTTAAGTGGATTATATCTGTATTGTTACTTTTTTTTATTTTAGAAACATG